AGGTTCTCTGAGGTTCTAAACCGCCCTGAGGTTCTCTGAGGTTCTAAACAGCCCTGAGGTTATCTGAGGTTCTAAACACCCCTGAGGTTCTCTGAGGTTCTAAACAGCCCTGAGGTTCTCTGAGGTTCTAAACAGCCCTGAGGTTATCTGAGGTTCTAAACAGCCCTGAGGTTCTCTGAGGTTCTAAACAGCCCTGAGGTTATCTGAGGTTCTATACAGCCCTGAGGTTCTCTGAGGTTCTAAACCGCCCTGAGGTTCTCTGAGGTTCTACACAGCCCTGAGGTTCTCTGAGGTTCTAAACAGCCCTGACGTTCTCTGAGGTTCTAAACAGCCCTGAGGTTCTCTGAGGTTCTCAACAGCCCTGATGTTCTCTGAGGTTCTAAACAGCCTTGAGGTTATCTGAGGTTCTAAACCGCCCTGAGGTTCTCTGAGGTTCTAAACACCCCTGAGGTTCTCTGAGGTTCTAAACCGCCCTGAGGTTATCTGAGGTTCTAAACATCCCTGAGGTTCTCTGAGGTTCTAAACAGCCCTGAGGTTCTCTGAGGTTATAAACACCCTTGAGGTTCTCTGAGGTTCTAAACACCCTTGATGTTCTCTGAGGTTCTAAACAACCCTGAGGTTCTCTGAGGTTCTAAACAGCCCTGAGGTTATCTAAGGTTCTAAACAACCCTGAGGTTCTCTGAGGTTCTAAACAGCCCTGAGGTTATCTGAGGTTCTAAACAACCCTGAGGTTCTCTGAGGTTCTAAACTGCCCTGAGGTTCTTTGAGGTTCTAAACACCGCTGAGGTTCTCTGAGGTTCTAAACAGCCCTGAGGTTTTCTGAGGTTCTAAACAGCCCTGAGGTTCTCTGAGGTTCTAAACACCACTGAGGTGCTCTGAGGTTCTAAACAGCCCTGAGGTTATCTAAGGTTCTAAACACCGCTGAGGTTCTCTGAGGTTCTAAACACCCCTGAGGTTCTCTGAGGTTCTAAACAGCCCTGAGGTTATCTGAGGTTCTAAACACCGCTGAGGTTCTCTGAGGTTCTAAACACCCTTGAGGTTCTCTGAGGTTCTAAACACCCTTGAGGTTCTCTGAGGTTCTAAACAGCCCTGAGGTTCTCTGAGGTTCTAAACACCGCTGAGGTTCTCTGAGGTTCTAAACAGCCCTGAGGTTCTCTGAGGTTTTAAACAGCCCTGAGGTTCTCTGAGGTTCTAAACAGCCCTGAGTTTCTCTGAGGTTCTAAACACCGCTGAAGTTCTCTGAGGTTCTAAACAGCCCTGAGGTTATCTGAGGTTCTAAACACCGCTGAGGTTCTCTGAGGTTCTAAACACCGCTGAGGTTCTCTGAGGTTCTAAACCGCCCTGAGGTTGTCTGAGGTTCTAAACAGCCCTGAGGTTCTCTGATGTTCTAAACAGCCCTGATGTTCTCTGAGGTTCTAAACAGCGCTGAGGTTCTCTGAGGTTCTAAACAGCCCTGAGGTTCTCTGAGGTTCTAAACCGCCCTGAGGTTCTCTGAGGTTCTAAACAGCCCTGAGGTTATCTGAGGTTCTAAACACCCCTGAGGTTCTCTGAGGTTCTAAACAGCCCTGAGGTTCTCTGAGGTTCTAAACAGCCCTGAGGTTATCTGAGGTTCTAAACAGCCCTGAGGTTCTCTGAGGTTCTAAACAGCCCTGAGGTTATCTGAGGTTCTAAACAGCCCTGAGGTTATCTAAGGTTCTAAACAACCCTGAGGTTCTCTGAGGTTCTAAACAGCCCTGAGGATATCTGAGGTTCTAAACAACCCTGAGGTTCTCTGAGGTTCTAAACAGCCCTGAGGTTCTTTGAGGTTCTAAACACCGCTGAGGTTCTCTGAGGTTCTAAACAGCCCTGAGGTTCTCTGAGGTTCTAAACAGCCCTGAGGTTATCTAAGGTTCTAAACAACCCTGAGGTTCTCTGAGGTTCTAAACAGCCCTGAGGTTATCTGAGGTTCTAAACAACCCTGAGGTTCTCTGAGGTTCTAAACTGCCCTGAGGTTCTTTGAGGTTCTAAACACCGCTGAGGTTCTCTGAGGTTCTAAACAGCCCTGAGGTTTCTGAGGTCCTAAACAGCCCTGAGGTTCTCTGAGGTTCTAAACACCACTGAGGTGCTCTGAGGTTCTAAACAGCCCTGAGGTTATCTAAGGTTCTAAACACCGCTGAGGTTCTCTGAGGTTCTAAACACCCCTGAGGTTCTCTGAGGTTCTAAACAGCCCTGAGGTTATCTGAGGTTCTAAACACCGCTGAGGTTCTCTGAGGTTCTAAACACCCTTGAGGTTCTCTGAGGTTCTAAACAGCCCTGAGGTTCTCTGAGGTTCTAAACACCGCTGAGGTTCTCTGAGGTTCTAAACAGCCCTGAGGTTCTCTGAGGTTCTAAACAGCCCTGAGTTTCTCTGAGGTTCTAAACACCGCTGAAGTTCTCTGAGGTTCTAAACAGCCCTGAGGTTATCTGAGGTTCTAAACACCGCTGAGGTTCTCTGAGGTTCTAAACACCGCTGAGGTTCTCTGAGGTTCTAAACCGCCCTGAGGTTCTCTGAGGTTCTAAACAGCCCTGAGGTTCTCTGATGTTCTAAACAGCCCTGATGTTCTCTGAGGTTCTAAACAGCCCTGAGGTTCTCTGAGGTTCTAAACAGCCCTGAGGTTCTCTGAGGTTCTAAACCGCCCTGAGGTTCTCTGAGGTTCTAAACAGCCCTGAGGTTATCTGAGGTTCTAAACACCCCTGAGGTTCTCTGAGGTTCTAAACAGCCCTGAGGTTCTCTGAGGTTCTAAACAGCCCTGAGGTTATCTGAGGTTCTAAACAGCCCTGAGGTTCTCTGAGGTTCTAAACAGCCCTGAGGTTATCTGAGGTTCTAAACAGCCCTGAGGTTATCTAAGGTTCTAAACACCCCTGAGGTTCTCTGAGGTTCTAAACAGCCCTGAGGTTCTCTGAGGTTCTAAACAACCCTGAGGTTCTCTGAGGTTCTAAACAGCCCTGAGGTTCTTTGAGGTTCTAAACACCGCTGAGGTTCTCTGAGGTTCTAAACAGCCCTGAGGTTCTCTGAGGTTCTAAACAGCCCTGAGGTTATCTAAGGTTCTAAACAACCCTGAGGTTCTCTGAGGTTCTAAACAGCCCTGAGGTTATCTGAGGTTCTAAACAACCCTGAGGTTCTCTGAGGTTCTAAACTGCCCTGAGGTTCTTTGAGGTTCTAAACACCGCTGAGGTTCTCTGAGGTTCTAAACAGCCCTGAGGTTTTCTGAGGTCCTAAACAGCCCTGAGGTTCTCTGAGGTTCTAAACACCACTGAGGTGCTCTGAGGTTCTAAACAGCCCTGAGGTTATCTAAGGTTCTAAACACCGCTGAGGTTCTCTGAGGTTCTAAACACCCCTGAGGTTCTCTGAGGTTCTAAACAGCCCTGAGGTTATCTGAGGTTCTAAACACCGCTGAGGTTCTCTGAGGTTCTAAACACCCTTGAGGTTCTCTGAGGTTCTAAACAGCCCTGAGGTTCTCTGAGGTTCTAAACACCGCTGAGGTTCTCTGAGGTTCTAAACAGCCCTGAGGTTCTCTGAGGTTCTAAACAGCCCTGAGTTTCTCTGAGGTTCTAAACACCGCTGAAGTTCTCTGAGGTTCTAAACAGCCCTGAGGTTATCTGAGGTTCTAAACACCGCTGAGGTTCTCTGAGGTTCTAAACACCGCTGAGGTTCTCTGAGGTTCTAAACCGCCCTGAGGTTCTCTGAGGTTCTAAACAGCCCTGAGGTTCTCTGATGTTCTAAACAGCCCTGATGTTCTCTGAGGTTCTAAACAGCCCTGAGGTTCTCTGAGGTTCTAAACAGCCCTGAGGTTCTCTGAGGTTCTAAACCGCCCTGAGGTTCTCTGAGGTTCTAAACAGCCCTGAGGTTATCTGAGGTTCTAAACACCCCTGAGGTTCTCTGAGGTTCTAAACAGCCCTGAGGTTCTCTGAGGTTCTAAACAGCCCTGAGGTTATCTGAGGTTCTAAACAGCCCTGAGGTTCTCTGAGGTTCTAAACAGCCCTGAGGTTATCTAAGGTTCTAAACACCGCTGAGGTTCTCTGAGGTTCTAAACACCCCTGAGGTTCTCTGAGGTTCTAAACAGCCCTGAGGTTCTCTGAGGTTCTAAACACCGCTGAGGTTCTCTGAGGTTCTAAACACCCTTGAGGTTCTCTGAGGTTCTAAACAGCCCTGAGGTTCTCTGAGGTTCTAAACACCGCTGAGGTTCTCTGAGGTTCTAAACAGCCCTGAGGTTCTCTGAGGTTCTAAACAGCCCTGAGTGTCTCTGAGGTTCTAAACACCGCTGAAGTTCTCTGAGGTTCTAAACAGCCCTGAGGTTATCTGAGGTTCTAAACACCGCTGAGGTTCTCTGAGGTTCTAAACACCGCTGAGGTTCTCTGAGGTTCTAAACAGCCCTGAGGTTCTCTGAGGTTCTAAACAGCCCTGAGGTTCTCTGAGGTTCTAAACCGCCCTGAGGTTCTCTGAGGTTCTAAACAGCCCTGAGGTTATCTGAGGTTCTAAACACCCCTGAGGTTCTCTGAGGTTCTAAACAGCCCTGAGGTTCTCTGAGGTTCTAAACAGCCCTGAGGTTATCTGAGGTTCTAAACAGCCCTGAGGTTCTCTGAGGTTCTAAACAGCCCTGAGGTTATCTGAGGTTCTAAACAGCCCTGAGGTTCTCTGAGGTTCTAAACCGCCCTGAGGTTCTCTGAGGTTCTACACAGCCCTGAGGTTCTCTGAGGTTCTAAACAGCCCTGACGTTCTCTGAGGTTCTAAACAGCCCTGAGGTTCTCTGAGGTTCTAAACCGCCCTGAGGTTCTCTGAGGTTCTACACAGCCCTGAGGTTCTCTGAGGTTCTAAACAGCCCTGAGGTTCTCTGAGGTTCTAAACAGCCCAGAGTTTCTCTGAGGTTCTCTGAGGTTCTCAACACCCCTGGTGGCTTTGGATTCTTCGCCGGAGACGGTAGAGGAGATGGAGGAGATGGAGCGAGGCAGCGAGTGTGTGGGGTGTTCGTGTGGCTTGCCAGGGCGAGCCGTACCATGTCCGAGGCGTGGACCCTGAAGGAGATGGAGGCGCTGGGTGGTGAGAACGGCGACGACCACGACGGCGGAGGAGAGAAGGTCGTGGAGGACTCTCTGAGCGTCATAATCAACCAACTCCGCAACCTGGGACAGAGCGGAGGGGACGAGTCGGAGCTCTACATCCAAAGCGCCGTCCCTCCGAGGTGCGAGCGCCATCGTCACCTTCACATCGTCCCCAGCAGCAGCAGCAGCTGCAGCAGCAGCAAAGTTGAACTGCTTCTTGTCATTAGTTTGTTGTATTGGTTTCCTACGGTGCGAAAGAGGTTCAACAAATATGCGTACATATATTTGACACGAATTTCTTTAGAGCCGCTTTTTGTGTTAAGTGCGTTGCCCTTCCCCCGCACTTCCGATTAGTCACGGTTTGCTACGTACGGTGCAAAAGAAGTCCACCATATACGTACATCTATACACTGACATTGTTGGACCGCGTTTCCATCGGCTTCCGTTCAACGTTCTGCGCTGTCACTTACGTTGGCATTGGAAGCACGATCAGTAGCAGCATTGTTATCATGATTGTCATCGACATTATCATCTTCATCATCAGCAGCAGCAGCAACGTTGGCATATAATAATAATAGGTTTTACCCTTTCTGGCAACACAACAGTTGTGTTAAGATTTGAAAACACCAAACTGAAACCTTTTGCAAGGACTCATGTCCTTCATTAACCACACGTACTTGTAGTGAACATGCAAACAAAACGCACGCTCTGGTAGTAGATGATGCATTGCCTTTGAAACTGATTGGTCCACACCAGAGACGGCTTTCTTTAGAGCCTCGTCTCAACCGGTGTTAGACCAGAAGACGCCAAAAGGCGAACATCACAAAGACGATGCCACCATCAGGACATTGCGAACTCGAGGTGAGCGGCTACATCAACATGAAGCAACGTCGGCATTGGAATCAAGATCAGTATCACCGTCATCGTCATCCTCATTACCATCTTCACCTGCTGTGTTTCACAGACACAGCCTGCGGTAGTATTATTGTGCCGCGCCACGCGCTGCGCGAATCATTCGGAACGATGTCCGACGTTTCGCTCCGCGTCCTGGGAGCTTCTTCTGGCAGCGGTTCAGTGAACGCTCCCACCGCAGCGGTTTAAACTCAACTGATGATCATCAATCAACCCCCAGTCCCCCGCCGTTTCTGTCTGTCCTCTCTGAATGTTGAACTTTTTTCGCACTGTACCTTGGCCAGTCGTGCTAATCGGAGGTGCGGAGCAAGGACAATTAAAACAAAACACAAAAAGTCAGTCCTAAAATAAATTAGTTTTGTCAATCTAGACGATGATTTAAAAGTGCAAAGCTCCCCGTGGCTTCCTAATATCGGACGGAGAAGAGCGTTCCAGACGGCCGCAGAAGCGCATTTGAAAGCGCCGCGTAAATTTACGCGCGTAAATGTACGCGATCTAACCCAACAAACCTCTATTATGGACCTTGCAACGTGTTAGTTCGGCAACCTGAAACCAGTGCAGCTCAGCGAGCACTGGACAGACACAGAGTGAGCTCGCAGTAACCCGTCACGACTCGTGCCAGAGAATGTCGTCCACGCTGCAGCTTGCGAAGTTTTTTTTTTTTACCAGACGTCCCGTAGAGTATTGAGCCGCAATAATCGAGCCTTGTCGATATGCTACTCTCGCCACGTCTCTCCCCTCTGCTGCCCCCGGCAGCCCGTACAGCACCCTGCCTCGCCAGTGGAGCCAGCACCTCCCTGCGCCAGCCGCACAGCCCCGGTGCAAGCGCATCCTCACTTTCGCTCCGGACATCCACTCGCAGCAGCAGCAGGAGGAGGAAGACGCGTCGTGTTGCGTGAAAGCGGCCGAGCTCGGTCTCTCCATGCCGTGCCATTACTGCGTCGCCGACACCAACTCGTCCAGTCCGGAGGAGCGGTGCGGCGAAGACGGTGAAGACGGCGGCGGCGGCGGCGTCACCACCGACGTCTCGTACGACGACGGCTGGTCGCCGGCGCCCGCCAGCGCCCACGGGAGCTACGTGGCGGGGCGCCGCCGCCACCACCACCACAACCACCACAACCACTACAACAACAACCACTACAACCACCACCAGCAGCAGCAGCTGCAGCAGAACCACAGTCATCAGCGGCGGAGGCACGGCGAGGAGGAGGAGGCGGGCCGACACCATCGCTGGGACGCAGGTGACACACGCCTGTGCAGAATCAGAATCAGAAAACAAAATAGGAATCATCTTCTTGGTTTTTTCGGTAAAGTCACGTAGAATGGAAATAACAAAATAACAAAATAAAACATAATAAAATAATGATCACGACGTTTTGGCCACAACGCAAGTAGCCGTCCTCAGGTGAAGACCAGACGCTGTCTCCCTGACAGATCTGGTCTTCACCTGAAGACGGCTGCTTGCGTTGTGGCCAAAACGTCGTAAGAATTATTTTATTATGTTTTATTTTGTTATTTTGTTATTTCCATTCTACGTGACTTTACCGAAAGAACCAAGAAGATGAATCCCTGCAGTCACGAACACTTTAAATCAGAATCAGAGTGTTTATTTGTACCGGAGGAGGAATCCGATGAGCTGTGAAGCTCTTTAATGTTTCCTTCCCGTGCCCTTCCTGGAGCACGTGGGGCGAATAACGCCGCTGAACGGGCTCTCCTAACGGGTCAGCCGCTCCAAACGATTTTTTTATTTGACCAGGTAAGGCCCACTCGAGTGAGGCCTACACTCGAGTGGTGTAGCTCTTTTTCAGCAGCGACCTGCCCATCGCAAATGACAGCTCAGCCAAGTGGCTCATCATCGTGGTCACGTGGGAAATGTTCAGCCGAATGGTCGAAATGCGTGACGTCGATTCCAAATGTGGAGGGGGGGAAATAAAACCGGAGGACCCAGAGAAAAATCCACGCGACCACGGGGAGAGAAAGAGAGAGACACGCAAACTCCTAATATGCATCCATAATAGAGGTTTTTTTGGGTTAGATCGTGTAAAAACCCCAAAAAATCTCTATTAAGGATGATATTGGTCACGAAAGGCTACGTGTTAAACTCCTAATATACATACTCTTAGTTCTTTCGGTAAAGTCACGTAGGTAAAAAATTAAATTAAAATTAATAAAAATAAAACAATAAAAATCACGACATTTCGGAGGCAACACAAGTCTCCGTCATCAGGTGGGACCGTCACAGCCAGATTTGCTGCATCAAGTGAGGCTCACAGCAAAATCTGGTTGTGACGGTCCCACCTGATGACGGAGACTTGTGTTGCCTCCGAAACGTCGTGATTTTTATTGTTTTATTTTTATTAATTTTAATTTCATTTTTTACCTACGTGACTTTACCAAAAGAACTAAGAGTATGAATCCTTGCAGTCACGAAAGCTTCAATCCTAATATACAGGCATCAGTCAGGGTAGGGATGGACCCCGCGACCTCCTGCATACCAGGCGAGGTAGTTCATATCTCACCAGCTCAGCGGCTGACCCGTTGCCACTTGGTAAACACTCGACTGCTGTTATCTTTGATCCGTTGAGGGAGGATTGGAGCAGATCCACTCCGCGTCTGAACAGACAGCAAATCGAGTGGATAGCAAATCTAAAACGACACCTTGAATCCGCTGTTGTTAATCCGCGCGAAAGAAGAAGCCGTTCCCGTGCCAACGTCTTTTTTGGATTATTTAGCTGTGTTAAGTGGGCAAATGATGGTGAGCCACTTTGTTGAGCTATCATTTGTGGCCAGGTCGCTTCTGAAAAATAAGTGAATACCTCGGTGGGCTTTGCATCGTAGGATGGGGATGGCTTCGTGTTGTATTTGTTTTTGTGTTTGGGTTTATTTGTTTTAACTTTCTTGTACGTTTCACTCCTGTCGTGTGTGTGTGCTGTTTGTTGTCACGTGCTTACCCCATAACCCCCGACTGGACATCTGTGAGTTTCGGAGCTCATCGGATTCCTCCTCCTGCAGTGTCAATACAACATTCTGAGTCTGAGCCTTGCGATGCCGCTGTTGTCGTGTGTTTCACCGCTCGCTGAGGAGGTGGAGATGGAGGAGGAGGAGGAGGCGGCCGTGACGACGTCCGCCACTGGAACCACGCGGCGCCCCCGCGAAGCTGGCGGCTGCTGGAGCCGTTCTCCACCTCGTCGCTCGAAGGAGACGACAGCTTCGAGCTGATCCTGCGCGAGGCCGACGCGGACGAGATGGCCACCGTGCGCGCCGTGCTCCACAAGAAGGAGAAGCGGCGGAGGGACGACGGCGCCGACGACGGCGCCGACCGCGGCGCCGGCAAGCGCCGGCGGGACTCCGGCCGCTTCTTCTGCTGCTGTCGCCGCGGATCCGAACCGGGAGGCGGAGACGGGACGGGCGGCCGCGACGGCGGGCGGCGGTGCTGGCGCTCGCTGGGCTCGTGCGCGCTGGCGCTGCTGCTGGCGCCGTGCCTGGCCTACGCCGCGTTCGCCGCGCTGCCGTGGAGCGCCCTGGCGCCGTGGAGGGCGGCCGCGCCGACGACGGCCGAGCGGCTGGCCTACGCGCTCCGCTGCGGCGCCCTCGCCCTGCTGCCGCTCGTGCTGGGTGGGTGGGTCGGCGCGGGGGTTGCGGGGCGGGGGGGGGGGGCCGCTGGGGGTCGCCGGAGGTCGCGGAATCGACAAATTCGTGGAGTCGTCGGGGTCGCTGGGGTTGCGACGTTGCCCGGGCGGTTGGGGTCGTGGGGTCGCTTTGTAGCTGGAGTCACAGAATTGTTGGGGTCGGGGAATCGTCGAAGTCACTGGGGTCGCCGGGGTCGTAGAATCGTCGGGGTCGCGAGCGTTGCTGAGGTCACCACGGCCAAGGGGTTGCAGGGTCGCTGGCACGGGTCGACAGACGCTGCTGTTGCGATTCTGAGTTCGATTCTTGGGTTCAGCCGCCCGTGATGAAGGAAGTGCCGGAGGTTGGGATCGTGTTCGTGCTGATGACTCCAAAAGGGGCGAAACCACCGTCAGTGTTTCTTCGACGAGACAAACGCCGCTTGCAAATAACATTCGTTTGGAAAGCCAACAACGAGTCGAGAGAGTCAAATATGTCTTCACGTGTGGAGATGCGGACTGCTGCCTATATTTGCTTTGTGCGTGTGAGAGGTAGGTCTTGTTCAACTCTCCGTCAAAACGCAGAAAGTTGGCAAAGTGGGGAGCACGGTTGGCTAATCTGCCGGTCATCTCAGTCAGCCGACCCCATGGCGCCACCCGGGTCTGTCCCGTGATCTCCAGCCAGCGAGACATCGACACTTCACGTGGCCTCAAAGTGCACCTAGCCTGGCACAAGCGCCGTCGTGACGTCTCCGCCATGAATGGCGTTTCGCGCGCTGCGCCATGAACCCAGTTCAATTCCCACTCACGGCTATCAGCACCAGTGCCGATTATCTGGGCCGCCCATAGGTCGACTCGGCCTCAAATGAGGCGGCCGGGCGGGCGCGTTTCTGGCCACCCAGCCCGTCGTGCGCCCCGTGCCTGGCCGGCACCTGCCACTAGCGGCACTTGCCCCCCCCCCGCGACGTTCTATCGCGAGCTACAATACGCGAGCATCTTTGTCTTTGCATTCCGCCACCGCCAGGCATGCTGGCGACGGGGCTGGCGCTGCTGCTGCGGCAGCTGCGAGGTGGTGCCGCGGGGACGTCCACCGTGCGTGCCCAGCGCGCGTTCGTGAGCGACACGGCCCAGCAGCTGCTGCTGCACCTGCTGGCGGCACTCGTGCTGGCGCTCAACGTGGAGCCACACTTCCTGCCTCTCGTCCTCGTCACGGCCGCACTCTTTGTGATCTCACGGTGAGGGGAGCGGTGGGATGAGCGGAGAGACGCCAGGCGGTGGATTCCTGACGTATATTGGAGTTTGCGTGTCAATCGCTCTCTGGGCTGGCGAGACGTTAACTACCTCGCCTGGTATGCAGGATGTCGCGGGTTCCATCCCTATCCTGACCGATGCCTGTATATTAGGAGTTTAACACACAGGCTTTTTGTGACCAATATCATCCGTAAAAGAGTTTTTTGGGGTTTTTACGCGATCTAACCCAAAACACCTCTATTATGGATGTATATTAGGAGTTTGCGTGTTTCTCTCTCTCTCTCCCTGTGCTCGCGTGGATTTTTACAAGGGTCCTGAGGTTTTCTTTTTCCCCTCCACATTTAGAACCGCAGCTGGAACAAAACATTCCGCACGCGGCGATGGTGAAGCCGCTCCGTTGCGCTGTCGTTTGCGACGGACAGGTCTCTGCTTAGAAGCAGCTACGCGGCTCAAGTCTGAGCCTTACCTGGTAGAATCAAGAATAGATTAGCTTAGTTTTTTACTTGCTAACAGCACTTGCCCCAAATGTGGCCGCTTTAAATTTACACGTGACAAAGCCAAGATGGTTGAGCCGTCATTTGTCAATTGGCAGATCGCTTCTGAAAAAGAGCTACAGCACTTCAAGTTCAAGGTCATTTATTAGGTATAGCCCTGTGAGCCATTCGGCTCTTGAATCGGGTGCAACCGCAACAAACAAAAAACTAAAACATGAACAAAAAACATCTTAAAGTGACTATGTGACTGAATGCAAACAGAAAATCCAAGAAAAGATGGCAAAATATTGCAGAAAAAGCATCGTACACCAACACTGTGTGCAAAAATCCCAGTGGGATGCAAGTCAAAAAACAAAAACAACCACAAGATAACAACCACAACATCCACTCAAGTGTAGGCCTCACCTGGTGAAATAGAAAGTTTTACACCATTGGAACCTCATTTGCCAGTAAATGCTCACCCCGAGCTCTCATACTCTGATGGTGCATTGTCTTTGAGTTGTGCGCCTTTTGGCGTCATCTGGTCCAACCCATGTGAGACTAGGCTCTAAGGAAAGCTGTCTCGGGTGTGGACCAATCAACTTCAAGGACAGTGCACATTATCAGTTGTGTTTTTTGTTTGCATTATGACTGCAGGTATTGTGGTATATGCAAACATGACTCCTTGTAAAAAGGTGTCAGTTTTGTTGCCAGATAGAAGGGTAAAAAAACAATTATTATAATAGAAAGTTTTAGTTCAGCTCACTAACAGCCCTTGCCCCCAACGGCAAAGGTGGTGGTGGTGGTGGTGGGGGGGTGATCTCTTATCTTGCCCCCTCCGTGTCCGTGCCCGTGACCCAGCCTCGTGTTCTGGGCCACCATCAGGAGCTGCTACGCCGGCTTCGGCTTCTGCCTGAGCTTCGCCCCGTCGCTCGCGATGCTCTGCCACGCGCTCTACTGCCTCTTCACGCTGGGGCCGGCCGGCCCGCACGGCGGCCTCGACGACGGGGGCCACGGGGGGACGGGGGCCCGCTCGCCGCCACCCCCCCACGTGCCCCCGGAGGTGCAGTGGTGGGGCAGCTGAGCCGCTGGAGACGGCCCGCAGCCCCCGGCGCTAATCGCAGGGGGGCGAGGCCGTGGTGGCCGCCGTTTCGCTCTCTCTCTCCCGCCGCCCGTTTTACCGGCGGGGTCAAGGGGAGAGGGGAAACGTCCGAGACGGTCGGTGGGGGGGAAGGGGGCGGGTGGCCGGGGCAGGCGGGGGGAGGCTCGCGGACCGAGCGGACGCACAGACTTGGACTTGGACTTCTTCTACGAGGCATCCGTCGCGCGGTGGAGAGATGTTAACTGTGGTGAAAGATGTTAACTGTGGTGAGAGATGTTAACTGTGGTGAGAGATGTTAACTGTGGTGAGAGATGTTAACTGTGGTGAGAGATGTTAACTGTGGTGAGAGATGTTAACTCCCTCGCCTGGTATGCAGGAGACCGTGAGGGTCGAGTTCGACCCTGACGACACCTGCTGTGTATTTGGAGTCTGCGTGTTTCTCTAATCCGTGGTCGATTGGATTTTTCTACCGGGTCCTTCGGTTTTTCCCTCCACGTTTAGAATCGACGTCACCACGCGTTTCGAGTTATTTGGCTGCTGTAAATGTTGTGTAGCTCAGTGGGGCCTGACCTGGTTACAGTAAAAAATAGTCAACAAAACACCGTAATGCCTTCTTCCAGTAATGATTTCTCCCCACGTTACATTTTTTTAACTTTTTTAAAATATTATTTCACACAATCCATCGGCTGTACGCCCTTCTGGGAGGGAGCATCGAAATATATCAGCAGCATTGGCTCAATACAAGCAAGATATCCGGACCGGTTTCGATATTCATTGTCTAATCAGCGGAGCCCGGCTTGTTTAAACCAGTGGCCAGTGAACTGTCAGATGTTTTGTAGGCCAGGACGTTTTGCTGCAAGCAATGGGTCCTTTGCCAGCATCCGTTTGAAAGCAACCCGGAGTTGTTCCTGCATTGAACCAACCGTCCTGGTGAGACGGACTTCCAAAATGCGTGCAACTCATGGGTTGTGTACATTTTAATTTTTTTTCACATTTTTTAAGTCGTGGCGAGACGTTCCCTCTGACCCTTTACTTTTGTATACTCACCGCAAATCTAAGACTTTTATAAGCACATCATTTAATAGAGTGTTAATATATATGTCTTCGTACTGCATTTTGTGGTTGCATGACGGTTATGTTGGCCGAGTTGCATAGCGGTGAGACAGGGTTTGCATCCACGAGAGCTGTTTTTTGGGGTTAGATCGCGTGAATATAAATGTGTCGTTAAACCCGCCACCACCCGACACAGCCAATTAGCGAGGTTCGTCACGTAAACAGAACGTGACAATTCGTTACTAGTACAGCACACACACCGGCTGTGTGTTGGAGAGTTAAACTCCAACTACAACGTTTACATCTTCTTAGTTCTTTCGGTAAAGTCACGTAGAAGGGAAATAAAAAAATAATAAAAATAAAACAAAATAAAATAATTCTCACGACGTTTCGGCCACAACGCAAGCAGCCGTCCTCAGGTGAAGACCAGGTCTGTCGGGGAGACAGCGTCTGAATGACGGCTGCTTGCGTTGTGGCCGAAACGTCGTGATAATTATTTTATTATGTTTTATTTTTATTATTTTATTATTTTCCTTCTACGTGACTTTACCGAAAGAACTAAGAAGATGAATCCCTGCAGTCACGAAAGCTTTAATCGAAATACAACGTTTACAATTCGAGTGCCGTGGCGTTTCGCCGGTAATTACGACAGCAGCAGCAGCCAGCATCATCAGGCGACAGCCAGAGAGTTGTGGAGAAACCCTCCCTCCTGCTTCGGTCTTAAATAGACGGAGGGGGGTAGATGCGACGTCGTCACTTGTGAGAAAATCTGGTGCGAGGACCAGGGTTTGAATCGTCGTCGTCATCATCAGCAGCAGCAGCATCGACACCTTTGCAATCATCATCACTTCCATCGATTTAAAGCTTTCGTGACTGCAGGGATTCATATTCTTGGTTCTTTCGGTAAAGTCACGTAGAAGGGAAATAATAAAAGAATAAAAATAGAACATCATATGCTTTATTGCTATTATTTTATTATGTTTTTTTATTATTTCCCTTCTACGTGACTTTACCGAAAGAACCAAGAATATCACTTCCATCGTCACCATCAGCCAAATAATAATAATCAGCATCATCACTTTCATCATCAGCCGAATAATAACCATTTCTCTATCACCATCATCAGCATCATCATCATTGTCGTCGTCATCACTATCACCAGCTGTCGAGGCTATGCCATTCGGTCGCTTTGTAAATTATTGCCATAGGAAGGTGGAATTTCCACCTACGGGCTCAGCACCTGCAGCAAAACCGAGCATGAGTCGCCCCGAGGGAGTTCCCTCGGGTTTCTAACATCTCAACACAATCTTGATTTGAAGCTTTCGTGACTGCAGGAGGTAGAAATGAAATAAAATAACGTCGTGATTTGGCTTTAATTTTATTTCTAACTACGTGATTTTACCGATAGAACCAAAGAGTATAACTTCGTATGAAACTGGAAAAAACTGCGGAAGCCGGAGTAACGCGAGGACACTTTCCCCTGGCAGCAGAGGCATGTGCACTCTACCGCAGATTTCTAATTTTTCTCCAAAGCAATTTTTAAACAGAAGAAATCTGCGGAAACCCGAGTGGCACGGGGACACTCGCCCGTGGCAAGTGGAGCCAGGCGCGAGTGCGCTCCCAGGGACGTTTACCGCAGATTTCTGAACGTAATACGCCACATCCTCGTGTAACATCCCGTGTGGCTCTTGTTGGATGATCCTATTATGCAGCTATTAGGGTTACAGTGGTTGGTAGCCCTTGGAATTACGCCTTAACGTGTACCAATCAACGGTGTGTGTTCAACAATGGGCGAATCGCACCTCAACGCACCTGATCCCATCAGATGTCTCTCCAGAGCTAAGCAGGGATTTGAGCCTGGCCAGAGGGCAGCTTTGATAGGAGAACATCGAAGTGTATGTCGACGCGTGTTGTGGCTGCTGCAGGAGCTGCGTTGTCAGTGGATGTCAATTACAATTGTGCAGGGACTCCTCCACTTACGAACATTCGACTTACGAACTTTCGGAGATAAGAACAAACCCTGTGCGTATGTCTAGTTGCCTGTTCGGACCGACAGTCGTAAGTTCAACTGGCACGCAACACATGGCGGTGGTGGCATCGACATCTACAGAACGTGAAGGACCAGTGGCATCTACATCTGCAGAACGTGAAGAACCAGTGGCATCTACATCTGCAGAACGTGAAGGACCAGTGGCATCTACATCTGCAGAACGTGAAGAACCAGTGGCGTTACATCTGCAGGAGATTATACAACTTCTAAAGCCATTCCCCGTGTTTAGTGAACACGCCGTACAACACGTATGGAATCGACAGGAGTAAATTTGGACTTACCAACAAATCGACTTACGAACAGTACCTCTGAAACCTAACTCGTTTATAAGTAGAGGAGGTCCTGTATATTCTTGTACTGTACTACGCTGCCAAAAGTCTGCATGCTACTCGCCGTCACTACAACCACAGAGACCAGCGTGGCGAAGTATGGCCAGTTAAGCCTCAGAATTGGAGGGCTTCATCCAGCAGTGGATTGGCCAGAGGGTGTATTCGTACTTTTGTAATGTGATGTGTGTGTGCGCGTGGAGGGTTGGGGCACGCTGCGCAACGAATCCGGCGACCCGGGTTCGATTCCCCACTCGCGAACAATTACAGCGAATATCTGAACCGGTCCCGGGCCTCCTCTGGGTCGACTCAGCCTTAAATGAGTACCTGCTGCGGTAGGTGTGAAACAATCAGCAACCGGGGGGAGACAAAGGCGGCCGTGCGTGGTGTTGTCCACCCACCCCCCTTCCTTTCGCGTGTGCCGTGCCAGACCTGCGGAGGTGCTCGCTAACAGAACAAGCACTTGCCCCGGGAGTGTGTTAAAGGCTATACGGGGGAGAGGGGATCTTTGTCTTTGTATGACGCATATATATAAACACGTGGCTCTGTGTAACTTGCATGGCCCTGCCTTGTTGTTGGCGGTGTCCACGCGCTCGCATGTAGTACGCACTGCGAACCCAGACCGATGTGCTCACGTCCCAACTATGCAGCCGGATTTCGTTTTTTTCTCCGATGATTTTGTTTATTGTGAAAACCGTGGTTTCGGGAGGCAAGGACTTTTTCGTTGCTGGGAAAGAAAAGTATATAAATAAATATATAACGATCATAATTTTGCACGAAGCTATTTGTTTAACCCGTCAATAAAGGCGCGGCCCCTGCAATTGCCTGCCCACGCCGCTGCCTGCGGAAGGGGTCTCCACTTAGGGGAGGCAGCTCTGCTGTGGCGCCACTCGAGACGATGACTTTGGCCTACTCTTCCATGCGGTGGTCGTCTCGCGGAAACAACCGGCCCCTTCCATGGGAACGTGGAATTTCCGCCGCACAACATTTCCACACGATGAGCCACTTTCGTTGAGCTTATCCATGCGATGGGCAGGACGCTGCTTCTGAAGATGAGCTCAATTGCAGCTCAGTGGGCCTTACCTGGTGAAATAAATACAGGGTGCTTCAAAAAAGTGTTAACACTTCTGAGAATTTGCAACAACACCGCGAGAAATGTGGCTCCTCCGAGCTCTGGAGACCACGTGGAGAAGACTTCAGGCCACGCGTTGACAACGATGGCGATCACGTGGGGAGACCCTTGGACTTTTTGAAGCTGTTAACATCACATTTGTTATCACGTTTGATTTAAAGCTTTCGTGAGTGCAGGGATTCATATTCTTGGTTCTTTCGGTAAAGTCACGAAGAGGGGAAATAATAAAATTACAAAAATATAAAACAATAAAAATTCTCACGACGTTTCGGCCACAACGCAAGCAGCCGTCCTCAGGTGAAGAACAGGAAAGACAGCGTCTGAGTGACTTTACCGAAAGAACCAAGAAGATGAATCCCTGCAGTCACGAAAGCTTTAAATCGAAATTTGTTATCATGTTACATTGTAGCATTATCCGTCACTTTTACCATTAAAAACGATAGTCCCATAATGAGTGTTAACATGTTTTTGAAGCACTGTATATTTAAAACAAATTCAAAACACGTTGATGCTCGGGACGAGGAG